CAGGAATGCAACAATGTCTCCTGTGACTTCTGTGATTGATGTGTTCAGTTCGGAGCTCTTTGCAAGGAGAGTAACACAGCCCTGGGTTTTGCCGTGAATAGTTTAAACCCTTTATTTGCATAATTCATGAAATTGCATTACATACAACTTCGGTGAAAAAGATCCCGTTAGAGAACTTGCGCAGCTTTTAATAACCTTGTGAATATTTACCGATCGGCAATTTGTACCGTTGGCTCTCCTCGAGAGTTTTAATGAGCCGCTGGCTTTGCTTTGTTTCGTTCCCTCCGTAAGGATTTGTTGACATGTCGTAGCAGTCATGCCTGTTTGGGGGAAGGGAATGAGTTTAGCAGTTTACCAAGAATGGATCAGTCATGTCTTTGCCCTCCAAGAGGTCGGAGGTCGCTTGACTCAGAATAGGGGGAGGGCAACCTTGAAGGGGGCAGATAGGGTTATTTTATTGAGAGGCCATAGGGAAAATAACCCTTTTGAGTCCTTCCAAGCAAAACGTTTTCGTATATTTAATGAGGCCTTTTTTGTTTGTTTTACTACCTTTTTAGCAAGGGACTTTCCCGTGCTTCTGCTTATAAATAAGAATTAGTGAATTACACGCTTTCATAAAGTCTTCAGTAAATTTGCAGGATCGCATTTGCTTCTTAGATGGCAGCAGTAAGTTTAACACATTAGATGTTTTATGAGTTGTTTTGGGATGCAAAGTGTTAAAAAAATACAGAGCATCAGGATTTGCTGTGATAAGCATACAGATTAGCTGTCCACAGCTGTGATTCATTACTTTCACCGTACAAATTAAAAGTGGCTGAGGGGAGGGTACTGCAAATGCAAACCACGCTTCTGTGCTGTAAAACTGAAAGGAATGAAAGAAGTGAACATAATCCATGGCCTGGTACAGCCTCAGAAATGTGTAAGGACAACACCTTACACGCTACAGTTCAGCAATCTTAAACTTGTTACGTATTCACTCTTCAGCGGTAACTACAGATAGAAGTTGAGATTTAAGGTATTTTTAAAATATCTACATCGGCTTTAAAACTCTTATCTAAGAAGAATCGATTTATCAGCTGTGAAATATTTACACTGCAGATCAAGATCTCGGAGATAATAGCCGCAGCCTCGTTGGCCGAGGAGGTTCACCCAGAGGAAGTCTCTCACCACGGTAAGCGTTATTTACATTGGAGAGTGCAGGCAGGGGAAATGTTTTAAGATTTGGAAACTTCGCTGTCTTTTTGCTAGTAATACTTAAGTATTTTAAAAGCATATATTTGTATCTGTACATCTATATATGTATACACACATGTGTATGTACATTTGATTTTTAATAGATATATCCATCTAAAAAATCCCCTGATATATCCAGATAGCTAAACGTGTGCTGAAGTTGACTTTTATATCGACCAAAATTAAGTTTGTGAATGAAGAAATTTACTTAAAAAATGGAGACCTGCTTTAGAGGAATTTATCTGTCATTTAATCCACATTCACTTATCTCCTCAGATTTGTTACCATAATCATATTTTAAGTCATATTTGCAAAAATCCCATAGACTTAAGGACTACAATAATCACAGGAATAAGATGGTCTGAGGAGTTAAATATCAATAAAAATTTCAAACAAAATTTTTCTTCCTTTTCCATCACCACTTCAAAATATGCAACAATTCTCTGTGGCAAAGAAAATAGTTTTGTTCTGCTGCAGTTCACCACTTCTGCAGAGCATTCTGCTGGAACTGTATCACGTTATTTTGTTTAAAATACTTGCTGCTAAAACTTCAATATCGTGTTTTAAATACTTCAGTAATATTTTCTGTGTATTTCAAGTGAACCTTTGTTTATTAAATGGCTTTATTTTCCATACTGGATCTCATATGAATTAGGTTTTATAGTGTTACTACTATATTTTTTTCCCAAAAAGGATTTTAAGGTAGCTAAAAAATGGGAGTTGCACAAATACAGCATTGTAACAATGCATCAGATTGTTATAGCATGTGTTGATTACAGTAATTTATAATAAATATCCTCAATTTAGATAATCGTTGTACATGGCTGGTGTTGTTGATCTTGTATTATTTTCCTTAATTAATCAAAAGACTTCTTGTCGAATGGCATGAGAGTATCCCTTATAATACTTAGGTGTTATTACTAGTCATGAACTGGCTTCTAAGCTTTCCAATACGTGTTGCTTCTAAAACAATAAGCAGAGAATTTATAAATTAATTTAGCCTGTGTTCTCCGTATAAATACATGTGTTTACATTAGCATGCAAACCTTCATATAAATAAGGACCATGTCTGGATACATACAGACAAGTTTAAGAGAATTTTGCAACGGGAATTGCTCAACAATTTGGAAATTCTAGAACTTTGGATTATATATTAAGTAGTCCTCTTATGTGGATGTGCTGTGGTGAGTGGTAACGCTGCCGTGGTTGGTGTGCAAAGGCCCGCTCTCCGTGCAATTTGCAGTAGGGTGTAGTTGTGTTCAGGCTGTCTTTAGGTAGACTATTTGGGAAGCTGAGCTGCTTAAGCACGGTGCTTCTGCAGAGCGTATGGTCAGGGTACGCAGAGTCCCATCCTTACGGTGTGGTCACGATTCGGCTGGTTTGTATGGGCATGGCAAAGGAGGAGCTGGATGCAGAGGCCGCCTCTGTCCGCAGTTGTGGAGCTTCCTCCAGCGTGCGGAAGCTGTAGCACTTCGCAAAGGGCGGTAGACTTGTTCAAGGAGGGAGGAGAAATCACTTCTGTAGTTTCAGAACTGAAAAATGGAAAATCTTGGTCTGAAATATTTAGCATGGAAAAAAATTTAGAAAATTTACCTGTCCCACTAAGTTGACTAGTCAGCAAATTTACGCCCCGGTTTGTGCAGTAAGAAAGATCGCACGTGTGTCAGTGTTTCTAAAATGTGTAGGTAACTCCCCAGCTTCCTCAGTTAAATGAAAAAGTAACTCTAATGACTTAAAATACAGCTTATAACAAATAAAGGTCTAACTTCAAAAATCTGCTATCTGAAAACTTTGCAACTCTGAATGTTACCTGCTTTACCTATTAAAATTATTTTTTGCGATTTCTGACTCTATACCCTTTGAAGCTTATGAGATTCATAAATAACACACGTCTCCTAAAGAACCATGTCATTTTCAAATAGTTGCTTAAAATAAAAACACTTGCAGAAACAATCGTTTGCTGCTGCTTATACAGCTGATTGCAGCTCTTTCGGGAAGACATATGTGACTCATGAGCTGTATGGTCTAAGATTCTATGGTCATTTCAAATCAGTCTTGTTTTATCTCTGTAGTCCTATATAACTACAGTGTTTGATGTTTAAGCTGTCGTATTTAAAATTCTAATATATATGAGAAATAGAAATATACTTGGTCTATGTGAGCTGTTTCTGTTTTGTGAAGGAATTGCTGCTTTTCCCAAGGTAGCACTTAAACTTTTTTTACCCCACACTTAACCTTAGAGTTAAAAAACATGTTACACAATACCTGCTTTGAAATATATCTGTATGCCTTATCTAAATGCGGTGTTGCTTGCAATTAATACTGTAGGAGTATGAATAACTGTACCCCAAAATTGAACACACACCAATTGTGAAAGTAAGCAAGGGATGAAGCACGGGATTCCCATCTCAGTGATGGCATTGGACTTGCGCATACAGCACATTTATAATCCTGTTGGAAACCATGATCAAATATGATCTGGAATAAGGGTTCAACCCTAGTTTGCAGGCACTGTGTCATGCTTAATGGATGAGGTAGGGGTTCAGCTGGGAGAGGGTGGATTGACTAATGTTGTGATACATGGAAAT